CCCACGAGCGCGAGGCCACGTGGGGCAAGCTCGCCTGCGAGTTCCTCTCCGTCAACTGGGACTCGGCCATTGAGGAGATCAACAAGCTCAAGGAGACCATCGACACGCGCCTCTTCAACAACCCCCTCGCACAGCTGCAGCACCGCACATGGCTGATCCACTGGTCGCTGTTCCCCCTCTTCAACCACGAGCCCGCCCGCGAGAGCCTGACGGACATGTTCTTCTCGCCGTCCTACATCAACACCATCCAGACCAACTGCCCCTGGATCCTGCGCTACCTCGCTGCCGCCGTCATCACAAACCGCAACAAGGGCCGCAACTCGAATCAGTACCAGAAGCAGCTCAAGGACCTGATCCGGATAGTCAGGCAGGAAGGCTACGAGTACAGCGACCCCGTCACCGACTTCATAAAGGCGCTGTACATCGACTTTGACTTTGAGGAGGCCCAGAAGAAGCTGAGCGAGACCGAGGAGATTCTCAAGAACGACTTCTTCCTGCTGGGTGCCGCGGACCAGTTTGTGGATGCGGCGAGACATTTGATTTCCGAGAGCTACTGCAAGATCCACCAACGGATCGACATCAAGTGAGTTTTGACCAAGATTTGATATTGAGCAAAGTACTAACCATGTCACAGGGACCTCTCAACCCGCCTCGGTCTCTCACAAGACGAGGGCGAGAAGTGGATCGTCAACCTCATCCGCGACACCCGTGTCGACGCAAAGATCGACTACAAGGCCGGCACAGTCATTATGAACCACCCCCCACAATCCGTCTACCAGCAGGTCAATTGAGCGGACAAAGGGCGGATTCTTCAGGACCCAAGTCTTGAGCGCGGCAGTTGCGAAATGAGCGTCTTGATAAGCTATTTCGAATGATGCAAGGAAACGAGTAGACCGCTTGTGGGGAGGCGAAGGCGTTCAGCGATTGAATGGACACGACGGATGGACAAAAGCGCAGACTCCTATTTTCCCACGCGGAGAATTGCGACGAGCTCGCAGGATGCATGCATGATTCATGGCGTCTTTTCTGGGCTTCTTTGGCGGCGGACAGACAGTGCAGATGAGCTGTACTTATTTAGATGCGAGCTACTTACCCCTTTGAATCAAACAAGAACAAGACAACCCAACCAGACCAGTTCTCGTCAATTCACTGCGTTGCAATCAAACTCGTTCGTCACAAACAAGCAAGAAATTTTTTCCACCTCCCTATCCTATCCTATCCTATCTTACATACAAAATCCCATTCCCTTACCCACCGTAGTATCATACACCCTCCTCATCCAATCAATCAAGCATAATACCTCGGCGCGTCAAAAACATGATACCTATGCCCTCTGACTCCCTGCCCCTTGAAGAGATCCGGGAACCTGAGCCCCTTTTCAACTTGTTCCTCTGGAATAACTTCGTCCCCGTTCTCGGGCTGTCCGACGACGAATTTGGCGACCTGCGCGACGTCAGCATCAGCACATACATCTCTTCCATAGGAATGGGGAATGGGGTCTTACCTGCAACTCTGTATCCGTAATACTATCCCGACTAACCCTCGCATACCCACTCCTCCGCAGGCCCTTGAACAAAATGTACTCGCACCAGCGATCCCAATCACTCGGATCGACATCGCGCATCCCGCTCTTCTCGCCCACATACGTGTGGTAATTCCCCTCGTTGGGTTTAATCACCAGATAACTCAGCAGCACGGCGGGGCGGCTCGTCGCCTTCATGCGCGCAGCGAGGTACTCGGATTGCAAGCGGCGGTCCTCGGGGTCTTCTTCCTGGCCGCTGTGGAAGACGAAGATGTCGATGAGCTCGCCGTGCGCGAGGATCGTGGCTTCGATGGCGGGCGCGAGTTCACCGACGGGGGACGGGAGGAGGTGGTGTGTCGAGTTGACAATGGGGAATTTGGATAGGAGCGCGCTGCCCCAGGTGTGTTTGTTCGGGCCGGGCCCGTAGTCAACCCACATGCCCAGGTCCTCGGCGAGGAATTGTGTCGTGTCGCGGTTGCCCATGATGATGCGCTGGAGATCGGATTCGAGCAGGCCGATGACGTCGATTTCGAGTTCTTTGATCAGGTCGCGCATGCGGTATTCTGAGGTCCACATGTCGTTGTCCAGGCTGAAGTGGATGGTCCAGATGCCCGCTGTGATGCTCTTCGTTTCCGGGTGGTAGGGCGTGTAGTCGTAGCTTGGGAAGCGGAGGTAGGCGGTTGCGATGGCGAGGAGTTCGACGGCGCCGAGGATGGTCAGATAGTATGAGCGTTGGCGGGATGTGGCAGCGGAGGCGGTGGCTTTGCCTTTGTAGGATTTGGGGGTTGACGAGGAGGAGGCACTGAAGACGCCGAAGCCAATGAGGATCATCATGGCGGACATGACCCAGTCTGTGCGTTCGCGGACGAGAGGACCACCTGGGACGAAAGCGTAGGCGACGACCCAGACGTGGAATAGAACCATGAAGTTGTAGACGAGGAATCCAAGACCAAAGGTCTTCGCGGGAGAGTGGCGGACTGCATGGGTGAAGAGGGCTGGGGCAGCAGCCATGGTGTAGATAGCAATAACGAGACCCCCAAAGTAGCCGGACCAGTGGCTGGTGGTAGTGAGGACGGCAGCACCAATTGAACCCACTCCGTAGAAGGCCCATGAGCGGGACAAGTTTGGCGCGTAGAGCCCAATGGTAAGACCAAGACCCATGGCGAGGAGAGTGACCGCACCATGCGGGACGGCGAGCGGACCGCGCACTGGGAAGCCTTCCCAGACCCAGGATATCATGGTGCTCGAATCGGAAAGAAGCGAGTGCATCGAGAAGAGTATTCCAGCAACACCGAAGCTGCCAGGAATGGACCAGCCTTTAGTGATAGGACCAGGCGGTGCGAGATCTGCACCAGCGCTGGCGGTCGACCTGGTCGAGATCAAAATGGACAGCACAGCCAGACCGAGACCCACCTCATTCCATCCACCAGTCGGCTTGTGCATGATCGGCCAGATGGGATTGTTTGTCCAGAATGCAAACTTGGCGACACTGGACGCAATCAGACCAATTGAGAATGCCGAGATGCGCGCCTCAAGCCGACGCGGCTGAGACCGTTCCGCGTAGAAGGTAGCGGCCCATGCAAGACAAGACATGGACAGTCCAAATCCAACCGCGAAGAGCCGGGGAACAGGACGTTCTGCTTTGAAAGCGAGTAGACCAGAGAGCGAAAGGAGGTGGAAGATGATGACATAGCGAGTGACAAAGTAGCGGAAGGACTTGATGCCTAGTAGAAATGGCGAGATTGTGCACATGACGAGAACCTCGTAGCCAGAGATGCCCATGTGCCAGAGAGGGAAGTCTATGCAAGGTCAGATGCAGCCATAAAATGCCGAATGTAAACTTACACCAGACACATACCCCAAGGGATGTTAACATGGACCAGAAGACGAACTGACTAGTGTTATTACGGCAAAGGTACAATGGTCAGCAGATGCACTTACTCCGTTGTAGACATCAGCTACTGCATAGATAAGACCGAAGATGGAGAAAGCACCGGACAAGGCATTCCTACGCAGGGGTCAGAATAAGTGATTAAGACGACTACGACATGGGAACTTACTCTTTCTCAAGGGAATCGGAGGCTGATTTGTTGCCTGTGCTACATGGAGAAGAAGAATCAGAAGGTGTGCTTAGACGGGTTGCATTCGATAGGGTATCTATCTAGTGTGGAAGCCTAACATACCCGCGCGAAATTCCCCGGTTGTCCTTTACAACAATCTCAAAGTCCTTGAACTCGCTGATGGTAACTGCGTCGAAGGCAACATCGAGCAGAACGAGGGCCCATTCGAAGAAGGCGTAGATGGTGTATGCTGTTCCAGAGTCAGTATTTGAGAAGAAGAATGTTTCAAGGACACAGACCTCCGGCAACATGGTGGACCTTGTGTTGGATAAAAAAGTAGATGAGCGGCACCAAAGTCGCAAAGAAGGAACCCGCAAACAGCTTTCGGTATCCCAGGGCCGTCGGGTTGCGCGGGCTAAGCGCAAGGCAGCCGAGTGTCCACGGAAGCGTTGCCACAAGGTACGAGATCATGAAGATGTCGTGCCAGTCATGGTCGTCGGTCGACGTCACATATGTCCATCCACCACATGTGAGCGTTCGGAAGATGCCAACACCAGCGACGAATTTGGGAAGCGTAGAGTTCGGGCGGCGAGTCAGGCAGTACCAGAGACCGACCAGTGCGAAGCGGGGGCCTGTTTGTCGCTTCAGTCAAGTTCTTGCATCTTCCATCTCGAGACATACCAGATGTAAGGGCAATGAAGAGCATGAACACGGAGCGTTCGGGATAGCGGTCGCCGATGGTTGCAGACACGGAGGGGAACCATTCTTGGGGGTAGCCCTACTGGTGGACGTTAGTATGCGAATGTGGTTGCATAACATGGGGTACTGACGTAGAATTCATTCTCGACAATCTTGTGGTAATGCAGCCATCTTCATACACTTAGTCGCTTGTGAAAGAAATTGTGGGGGGATTGACATACAGGCCGACGCATAAAGCTCCGACGAAGGCACCTGAGATCGTCAGTACTTATGAAACTTGTTAAACATCCCAATTGGTCTTACTATAGGCCATCGCCGTGTGGGTAATTGATATCCATTTCCCGCTGAACTGGGCTATGTGAGCATGCGGAGGTCTCGGAGGAGAGCTTCGGGAGCACCAACAGTCGCAAGGGTCTGGCCCTCTTTATCCTTGAGCGCCATTGCGAGGTGCAAATGAGGGGAACAGAGATGTCTGCTCTCACCCTATGTAGAAAGAAAAGACAGCGAACGGCGAGAATGAAGAGCCTCGGTGAGAACGCGTGTGGTCCCCTGAAGTTGTCATCCCACGCGTCGGCCAAGGCGCTATCAACGGCTAACGGGAGCAACATTAGGCGAGCGGAGGTCTCTCCAACTTTTTTCTGGTCGCGGCTTCCTTGCGAACTTCACCAACGCAGACATGGCCGGACCCAGTGACAAGGCGCGCTTCTACCTCGAGCAGTCGGCGACGGAGCTGAACGAGCTCGAGCGCAAAAAGATCTTCACTCGAGTATGTAGCAGCGACGTGCGCATTCGAATTGCTGCTAACAGGCGCAGGAAGAGATCAGCTCCATAGCAAAGAAGCGTTCCGACTTCGAGCACATAATCAATGCCCGCGGCTCCCACCCCTCCGACTACCTGCGATACATTGAATTTGAGAAGAACGTCGATGCGCTGCGCCGAAAGCGCATAAAGCGACTGGGCGTACGCTACAAGGGCGCTGGACAGCGAACCATATATTTTCTCTACAACCGCGCGACCAGGAAGTTCTCCGGTGACCTCACGCTATGGATGCAGTACATCGACTTTGCGCGCAAGGACAAGGCGTACAAGAGGTTGAACGACATCTTCACATCGGTTGCACGACTGCACCCGACCAAGTCAGAGATATGGGTGCATGCCGCAAACTACTTCATGGACACCCAAGCCGACATCACAAACGCGCGCAGCTACATGCAGCGAGGACTAAGATTCTGCAAGAATTCCGAGTACCTGTGGCTGGAATACGCCCGGCTCGAGACCATCTACGTGGGCAAGATTGCTGGGCGGAGGAAGATTTTGGGTCTGGAAGTTGACCACACGAAGACGCAGACGACGACAGAAGACGAGGATGTAGATATGATCACGCTGCCAACAGTCACAGCAGAGGACATCGACCCTAGCCTCAAACAGGATGAGGGTGTCGATGAGGTGGCTCTGCAGAATCTGGCTGCGGCGCCCGTGCTTACGGGAGCTATTCCGCTGGCCGTCTTCGATTCTGCCATGAAGCAGTTTCAGGGCAAACCACGAGTCGCGGAGAATTTCTTCGCCATGTTTGCCGAGTTTGAACAGCTGGCGTGCATTCCGCGTATATTGCAGCACGTGCTCGACTTCCTGCAGCAGACGGCGCCTCAGTCTCTGGAGACTTCTATCTGCGAGTTCCGCATGCAGCTGTTTGGCCGCAGTCCCGCCGACCCAGAGTTTCCTCCAGCGCTGGCGGATGCGCTCGACCTGATAAGCACCGCTACCTCGCGACACCCGAGTATGGTCGCACGGGTGGCCGAAGTCGCCGTCCGCGAGCTGTTATCTCTGCAACGGCTATCTGCGGATACAGACCCGGCAGTACAGACGGTGATATCAAAGATGCTCCGAAAGTACACGCGCGCGCTTGACCAAGAAGCGGGCGATAAGATTGTCGATCTGGCAAAGGCACTACAGGAGGAGGGAAAGAGATACGACGCGGAGGCGCTGATACGATCGAGCGCGAAGCACTACAGTGCGAATGAAGAGCTGCAGCAGCTGTGCGCGGCGTTAGATACTTGAAGGCTAGCGAGGCCCTCACACCAATTTACCGTTTAAGACCCTGCATAAGGCTACCATGATATCCAACTCTTATCGCATGGGCACACCGCCACCGTCGCACAAGCTATCACGATGCTCTGGGTCGCGAGTCGACCACGTCACATGTATGGCCTAGGTGAGCCATGGTGCCGGTGGTTCTGTGGAGGCGACATTTCCCCGCAGACGCCTCAGTCGTCGCCCCGGCTTCGTCGTGAGCTCTTCTTCGAGCTCTGCTGTTTCTTGGTCTTGAGACGGCGCTCGTTATCGCTCTTTTGCCTGAGGCCTATCAGCACTCGGGTCGTCGGCGAATAGCCCGGACGTACAAGTTCTTGACGCGGATCGACTGCTCCGCGGACGTTTCATTAGGCACAGCATGGCGCCCCGCTTCCACAATGGCATCGAAAAGGCGTCTGTAACAGCTGGACGCGTTGTCGCTTTGTTTGCGACTGTCGTCGGCCTGCACGATGACAGCGTTGGACCTTGCGGCTACATAGCGGGACCGCCTGATCTCGCCGTGGATGGCAGTGGGGACATGGTGCAGCAACGCATCCAGGGGAACTCTCAAAGTGGCTTTAGAATTAACTCTTTGTACATGCTTAGTATAGCGCGCCGTTTAAATTTTTGCCAGTTTGTCATACTTATTCACATTCTGTCCGCCCGGGCCAGATGACCTGCTGAAGCTCAATTCGCCAATGCTCTTCAACGGGATGGCCTCTGCATGCAGGCGCGCGAGCCACGAGCGTGCTGCCCGAAGGTCGTCGTCGCTTGCATGAGCGTCATTGCTTGCCGACGAAATGCTTCGTGACGAAATGTTCCGTTGCACAGAGGGCGGACATGGACATGGCCATGGCCGTCTCGTAATAAAATGAGGCGGTCGGGTGCGCAAGCGACAGCGGAGCATGCTTGCTGGGTCAAGTTGGACTCATGCGAGCTGCGAGCTGCGTGCTGCGTGCTGCGTGGAATGAATGCCGACGGGGAACGCATAAGCCACTCTGACACTATATTAACCTTGGAAGGTGCACGTGACGGTTCTACGCCGAAGCTACGGGCGATCATTTCGATGCGTCTCGCTCACTTTTCATCACCAGCGTCGTCCGTGCCCTCACCTAAGCTTAATCCCCACCGCGTGTCCCAACAGCTGCTGCACGACCTGCTAGACTTCACCGTCACCCTTGCCACTCATACACCGCACCTAGACACTGCATCCCCGCTTTCATCTCTGTTCCTGTGTTCCGCGCCTGCTGCATCGCCTTGCTGCCACTAACCATCATTTTGACAGCATCTAGCATCACCACCTGCAGCCCCACCTTCCTCGCAGCTTGTCTTCTGAACCATCACGTCCAAGCCGCCCAGCAGCCACCTCGTTTAGTCGCGGCGAGCGTCTGCCTCTGTCCATGCATGAGTTGATTCACCCCTCCCTTGTATAGCCCAGCCCATCAGTGTCGCGACTTTCTTCGTGGCCAGCTTCACACGCCTACATGAACCCCAGCCCCAGCCCGCCGCAGGAAGCAGAGCACATCCGCCATCAGCAGCTGACGCCAGAGTCACCGCGCCCGCAGAACGTGCCGTCGCCGGCGAATATTCCCATCTTAGAGCTGCAGATGGACCCGAACTTCCATGAGTCTTCACATAACAATGGCAATGGCACCTCGACTCCCGCCTCACAGTACGCGTCGCATTCACAAACACCGAATCCTTTCGCATCGGCGCCGTACTTGTCCGATCCGACGGCCGCCGCAAACCACCAAACTGTAGGGGCGCAGAGCGTCGGAGGAACTGCATCGGGATATGCTCAGTCAGCAACAGCGTATGGCGACAGCACGGGTACGCAGGCGCAAGGTACCTCATCAATCCAGAACTTTTCAGCGCAGCACCAGTCGCGCGCAGCTTCAACCAATGACGCGACGCACTCGCACTCGCACTCGCAACCGCCCGGCCAAGATGTTCAATCTGCGTACCCATATGCCCATGAGAATGCGTATGCTGCCCAGCAACAGCAAGCTTCAGCCCAGTCTGCCCCGGGCGCTCACTACCAGCCCGAGGGCAACGGTGCTACCAGTGTTGACGTGCAAGCCTTGTTGGACTCTCTAACGCCCGCCATGCAAAATGCGCAGGCAGGCCACTATGCAGCTCCTCCTATGACGTCGCAGAATAATCAAGCGCAACCCAACGCACCGCAAGCCAGCCTCCCGCCCCGACCACCGGCGCAGGGTTTTAGTTACAACCCAAACGATGACATCCGGTCATTCCATCCGCACAGCCAGCAGACGCCGAACAACCCGCAGCAGCTCGGTAACGGGCAGCCGCAGAATTTGACTGTAGCCGCACAGAGCTATGCTCCGATGTCGCAAGAGGGAGCTCAGGGTGCGGCAGCGCAGGGCAGTGCGCCGAAGCGTCAGGGCCAGCGCAGTGAGACACCAGACGATGAGGACATCCGGTGGCCGCCGGAGGTGAACAGAAGATATGAGGAGTTTCTGGATCAGGAAAGGAAATTCGTCACAGAGGGGCAGTGGGATCAGTTTCCCATGGGCTCTCGTCTCTTCATTGGTAAGATGAGCAGTTCTCGCGAATGAGCACTCCTAATGCTAGCAGGCAATCTTCCCACCGAGAAGGTTACGAAGCGCGATATCTTCCACCGGTTCTACCGCCATGGCAGGCTTGCACAGATTAGCATAAAGCAGGCCTATGGTTTCGTTCAGTTCCTCGACTCCGAATCGTGCCGGAGAGCGCTCGACGCAGAGCAGGGCCAGGCAGTGCGTGGTAGAAAGATGCGTAAGTGAAATGAGGCCTATGTCCCGGATGAGAACTGAACAGCCACAGACCTCGAAATATCGAAGCCGCAGAAAAACTCCCGGAAAGCCGAGCCCCAGCCTGCAGCACCCCGACGACGATCGCGATCTCCAGACTACACCAGAGGTGGAACGGCACCCACGCCTCGCGATGGACGATATGGTGGCAACCAGGGCCCAATGTCTCCTAGGGACCGAGAACGGCGCTTCCGTGAAAGGGAAGACTATCGCCCCATGCGCTCTCCTTCGCCGCGCGGTGTACCTCGAGGTATGCGGTCAAGAGACAGGAGCCGCGAACGTTTCGAAACTCGGGACTCTCGATATCGCAGCAGATCACGAACTCCACCTCGCAGGCGTCGAAGCCCTTCTCCAAGACAGGACTACACCGAAGATGACTTGGATCTCCGTCGAAGACTGCCTCACGAAGTACCTGACATTCAGATTCTTGTCCTGCATGAAGGCATATCTCGGTAAGTTGGCAGACATCACTTGCTTAGTTTAGTTATTGACCACGATATAGTGACTTTATTCGATATGTCGAGGACATCTTCCGCCAACAAGGGCTGCGTAGCAACGTGCTCATCATGAGCGGCCGATTCCCCGAACCAGCTGTCGTGCGCAGGCAAATTATCGAAGGTGTGCTGGCCATTGTACGAATGGACACGTCTGGCTTCAAGAAGGGCAAAGTCAGTGTCCAGATTTTCGATCGACGCGGTGGTGCCAACAACGTCCAGTTCAATGGTATGTCAGATGATCTACAATGCTTCAAATACTAACGTGAGAAGAATACGCCGACCTCGACCCAACGACTGCCGCGCTACTCGTCAACAACGCAAAACAAACCCAGTCCCAGCCCGTCCAACCTCCAGCGCCGACCTTTGGCTTCAATCGCAACATGCCTCCGTTTAACCCGAACACCCAAAACCCGTTCACCGCAGCTCCTGCTAGCCAACCGAATATTTCCAACATCATCACTTCCCTCGATCCCGCCAGTCTCTCCCAGCTGCTCGGAGCAATGTCAGCCGGTAACAACGTCCCTCAAAACCAGCAACCCGGATCAATGTTCAATCCAGACCTTGCTCGGCTTCTCGCTCAGGTCTCTAGTCCAGTCCAGACGCCCGGATTCGGTACTTCCGCTCCGCCACAGATGCCCCAGCTCAATCATTTTCCTGGCCTTGCTGCAATGCTCGCCGGCCAGGCACAACCGGCTGCTCCGCCTGTCCAAAACACCCCCCAACCCGGCGGTGCGCCTGCAGACATGAGTGAAATCATGGCCCAGCTTGCTCAGTACCAACGTGGTTGATGCCCCTTTATTCAGTCAAGCTAATGCCCCAACAGGGGCTCTACCCTTAATTCGTTTGACGTCGTCCACAAGAATGTACCTATTGGATCGATGCTGTGCAATATGCTTATCACGAAAAAGTCTGGCGCCTTGATAGTACTGCTTTGTCCCACCGTATCTGCCACAACCTCGGGGACCATATCAATGCCCACAATAGCGCCTGTCGGACAGGCACAATCCGCGTCTGCCGGCCTGCAAACCGCACTCCATGACCCCTTTGGTACCCACAGAGCGAATGCGGCAGCCATACCGGAGCCCTACAATCCGGCCCATCCCGCCCTTGCCAGTCCCTTTGTGTTCGACCCCCGTCGAGACAGTGGAAATACAGCCCAACAATCGCCTCGTTCTCCAACCACCGCCAGACCTAGAGCCCGCCAGAGTGCCCCATGCATGCGACCTCATGATCTCTAGCGACAAGCAAGAGACTCGGGTCACCCTGCCGCAACGCTTCGTCCACTTGCCCTGTTTGCTTTATTATTTACACGTTTTGAGCGTTAGTCGAGCCGGCGTTACTATTCCAGGCGCCTTCAGTTTATTATGATTCATGGTTGTTTACTTTTCCTCGCAAGGCGTTACCGGCAGTATATAGACTACCTTTGCATATGCCGGCGTTCTTTCCCATCGCAGTGTATGTTTTTTTTCGAGGCGAGGAATCAGTGGTGCGTTGCGAACAGAACTTTGTGTATAGCTAGGCTAGTCGCTTCGGCGTCGATTTGTATGTACTAGAGAGAGATTAGTGAAGGGGAGGGTGTATGACAATTGAAACGAATATTTTGAGCAACATTCCTCACCATGGACCTTCCTTGCCGTGAATATCTTGGCAGTGGTTTTCGCGTTTAACACTAGCGCGAACGCGAGGTGTGATGACATCGTGTCAACCGCGGAACGACAAGGATGCTGAATCTTTTTGACGACGCCCAATTGCACACGTCACCAATTGGATTTCACATTGCCTTTGAAGGAATCGCGTACCCCCAATTCCCACATCCCACATCACCATGAAACCACGGCCCACGATATCGGCGTTCGTTGTCGCCACGCGACCAA